GAGATCCTCCTACATACTTGAAGTTGCACATTCAAATGTTTGTGGCCCATTCGAAGAACATACCATTGGCGGAAATAGTTATTTCGTCTCATTTTTCAATGAGTACAGTTGAAAACTTTGGATCTATGTGATCAAGCTAAAGGACGAAGTATTCAAATTCTTTAAGATATTCAAGATACTTGTCGAAAACCAGAGTGAAAAGAAGATTAATGTTCTGGGAACAAATGGAGGTGGCGAATACACGTCTAAAATGTTTGAATAGTTTTTTGCAAAACATGGTGTCAATCATGAGGTAACTGCTCCTTATACGCCTCAACATAATGGAACTACAGAAATAATAAACATGACTATATTGGATATAGCGAGATGTATGCTGAAGCAAAAGAATTTTCCAAAATCCTTATGGGTGAAGCTGTTTCCATAACTGTTTATATTCTAAATTGGTGCGCTACCAAGAAATTGAAGAACAAGGTTCTTGAAGATGTGTGGAGTAGCAATCAACCATCAGTGAGTCGTCTGAAGTTTTTTTGCTCTATGTGTTACAAGCATGTTCCTGATGCAAGAAGAAGGAAAATCGATGACAAGAGTGAATCTATGATTCTTGTAGGATATCATAAAAATGGTGCACACAGGATATTCAATATAATTAATGAGAAAATTGTGATAAGTAGAGACACTGGGATATATGAGAATTATGTTTGGGATTGGAATTATGATGATAAAATTGACAAGCCATTGATGAGTTATGGATTCAACGAAGAAACTGATGAAGTCGAAGTCTAAGAAATTGATGATATTCCAGTCAAAGTAGAAGTTATTACTGACATTCTCGACACTATCGAAGTCGAAGAGAGTTTTGCTAGCACAAGCCAAATATCTCAAATAACTAGAGTTCGTCCAACAAGACTTCAAGACTATGAAGTGACATGTGATGATGAAGTAACACTAGATGGATAATTAGTTCATTTTGCTTTACTTGTAGGTGCTGAACCAATCAACTATAGCGAGACTTTAAATAATAAACAATGGAAGTCGGATATGGTTTAAGAATGTCAAGTTGAAACACAGTGTTGACGGGTCGATAGAAAGACATAAGGCGAGATCCATAGCTCTAGGATTTCTTCAAAGAGCAGAACTCGAACACTTTGAAGTATTTTCTCCGGTAGAAAGATTGGAGACTGTTCGACTAGTAGTAGCCTTGGCATGCAAGTAAGGCTGGTCGATATTTCACTTAGATGTGAAGTCAACATTTTTTAATAGACCCTTAGACGAAGAGGTCTATGTCACGCAAGCTCTTTGGTTTATGATTCAGAAGGAAGCGAGTAAGGTGTATAAGTTGCACAAAGCAATATATGGCCTCAAATAGGCACTTAGGGCATGGAACAAGAAGATTGACTCATACTTAGTCGAATTGGGATTCCTCAAATTCAAATTTGAGTATGGTATCTATGTTCAGATTGTGGCACAAAATATAACAATCATCTGGTTATATGTTGATGACTTGCTGGTAACTAGAAATAACTTAGAGAACTTATCAAAGATCAAAGAGCTGATGATTAGGGAATTTGAAATGTCGGATATGGGAAAATGTCTTATTTCCTAGGCATGGAATTTCAAATTTCAAAGCAAGGAATGATGCTACATCAAAGAAAGCATGTCAAAGAGATACTCAAGATATTCATGATGAATGATTCAACTCGAGTATCTTCGCATGTCAAACCAAATTTGAAGTTGGAGAAGCATGGAGAGGAAGAAAAAGTCGATGTAACTTTGTTTATACAAATAGTTGGATCTTTGAGATATGTCTGCAACAGTCGACATGATATAGGTTTTGCAATTGAATTAGTGAGAAGATACATGAGTGAACCAAGGGTGTCACACATGAAGGTTGCAAGAAGAATCCTGAGATACTTAAAGGGATCGATAAACTGTGGAATTCTATTTCAAAAAGATTCTGAAAGCAAAAAAGTTACAGTTACTTGTTATTCAGATGCTGATTGGTGTGAAGATAAGGAAGATCAAAGAAGCACCATTGGTTATTTTCTTCAAGTCTTTAGTGTGACTCACTTACGAATAAATTTAGTGTGTTTGAAGTATGTCGAAAAATGTATTTTTGAATTTCAAAAATAATTTTGGTTTTTCAGTAGGTGTAGAAACAACTCTTAGCGTGGGAAGAACAATTCCCATTTTAAAAATCCGACTTTAAAAATTAATTTAGGCCTCCAAACATATTGGACCGACCATGATTAAATGGAGGAGTTAACCTGCCACATCCCACTTATATCTGGCTCCCCCATAATTTGAGTGAATTGACTATATTATCCTTCACACCTTTTAACCTAATTTTCAAAATCCACTCAAAATTTACGCACTTATCAAAAGTTCCTGAGCGATACCGGAAATTTCACTTTTCATATCAGAAATTTAGTGAAAATTAAGCTTTTTTCCCCAGAACTCAAGACTTTTTACTGGGAATTTGAGAATTTTCGGTAAAACTCTTTATATTTGTACCGTGAGTCTTAGAACACCGATATATATTCATGAGTTTTTAATGGAAATTTCAAAAATTTCGGTATTTCCTCATAGAATGGTACCGAAAATTCTAAAAATCCCGATAGTTCAAAATGTTAAAAATTTTATCAAAAATTATGAAAATGACTGGAGTTCAATTTTTTAACATAGTATCGGGAATTTTAGAATTGTTGATAATATATGTAAAATCCAAAAAATTTCAAATATGGCGGTAATTCATTGGTATTTTTTTTTGTATTTTTCTATTTTGCAATGAAGACTAGGAAAAAGGACGACAATATAGATATGTCCATGGCATCCCATGACCAGTTCCTGTTGTTCCATCTTCAGTCATTGAAAAATGATTTTAGAGTAACATCATTAGCTCTGCCCGATCCATTAGAGATAGCGCAATGAGGGTTCAACAGGATGCACAATGTGAGGATAATTACCTGGAGTGGTACCTTACTATATCACACCCTCACATTCTCTCACTTGTCGAGAATACGGATAATGTTGGGTCATCGCCTCTACCCGATGTCGATGACAAGCAGCGCATGCAGATGATGATTGTTGTTATTATGGATAATCTCATGGGTTTGGTAAACCCAGATGGCGATGTTTTTACTGGATTATCGCGGACAACACACATAGCCCGTGTGGACCTATTTAGCTATTTGATTTTGCAGTTGTATTATTTGTATATTTTATGACTCAGACTATTTAGTAATGTACCTTTTATTACGTAATATTTTATCGATTACATGTTTGGAAGATGATCATAACTTAAGACATGACAACTAACATAAATTTAAGGGTGTTCGTGGGCAGGTTTGGTTCAATTTTGAGAGAATCTGGTACCTAAATTGATTAAAAAAATATATGAATTGGTTTGGATTGATTTTCATATTTTTTTTCGATAAACTCCAAATCGAACCAAACCAAGAAATAACAGTTTGGTTTGGGTTAGACTGATTAGATACATTAAAAACAAATGTGCAAAAATATTTTAAAAAATATCTAATTTACATCAACTATTTTTTTATAAAAATAGAAAATTATTAATTGTTTGCGTTTTATTATATAGGTTGTGAATGTCACAAATGATGTTTCATTTTTCTTCTTCTTGAAGTTTAATATATTATCCTGATTTTCATAATAATGATGATATAAATTATATGAATTAATATGGTTGATTCGAGTAGACGGACTCGCGGGTAAAACTTTTGAAATCATTTTCCGAACCAATTAACATGGGATTTCATTAGATTGGTTCAGTTTTTGCCCGAATTAAAAAAATATCCGACCCAAATACCTTGATTTGGTTTGAATTTCAGTTTGGTTCAGATTTGTCCGAACCAATGAACACCACTGCACAAATTAACAATAACAAACATGAATACCTAGACACTACCAATTGATTTTGAACGTATCTACATCTTGATTATGTCGTCGACAGATCTTGAAATTGTCGCATCAAACTCGAACAGCCCCTTAGTTAGTCTAAAGTGAAATATTCTCAATATAACCTTCAAATATTCATCGGTCTTCAACTCAATAAAGTCGTATTTCACCTTTCCATCAGTATCAATCTAGTCTACTTAAAATTTGATCTTACCCACCTTTCTATTCTCGATGTCAAACAACAAATCATTCAACGTGGATCTCAAGACGGCGAGACATACAGTGTCCTTCAAAAGCCAGAAACTGTACATAAGTTTCACTTCGTTAAAGTACACTTCTGCCTTAATCAAAAATTAAAGAAGAGACATTTTGAGAAGTTCTCTCAACAACAAATGACCATTATTTATATAATTTTAGATTCATTCCGGACCACACAAAACGGTTGACGCAAACACAAAAGTACAAAACTATCGGCAAAATCATAACCGTTGAAATTTTGCACTCTTGAAAATCTCGCATTGGTTGAAATTTCCGGTATCACATGACACTTTTTGAAAATACCGGTATTATTTCAATGATACCTGATTTTTTTTTTTAAAACTAGTATTAATTTATACCGGAAATTATGAATAAACTACCAAAAATTTTAACATATCGAAAATTTTCAAAGAACTGTCAGAAATTTTCGTTCACACATTAGAATCCAATTTTGTCCAAGGACATTTTTGAAATTAGTAAAATATGTAGAGATGCCAAATTTAATTTTAGAGGTGACAGATTAAATTCTCATAATAAAAACGATCCAATTTGTTAGTGTAAGTTGTTCTGCTAGTAGATCCAAAAGAATAAAGTGGAAAAAAATATTTTTCACCTTAAAAGTGATCACCTATTTAAAAAATTGGGGAAATTTAAAATTGTTCTTGTAGACATACATTTATTTCCTAAGAAACAAAAATGTTACACCATAAATGCGACTAAGAAATCAGTCAATATACTGTACCGAAGAAAATGCCAAGACTGTCACAGACTACCAGGAACAATTATTTGGTCAGCCCATTCCTTGAGTTACAGTAATGTTCATCTAGTTAGTCAGTAGCATCACTAGGAAGATCCAGACCATGAGGAATTTTGCCAGGATAGTTGGTGGTTGAATTATTAGATCCAATCATACTGCACATGTATAAATCATATAAATCAAATAAATTTTCTGCATAAGCTTGAATATAAGTTTTATGTTATGCAAGTAAAGAAAATGCTTACCCTTTATCTACAATAACCATGGAGCGTAGTTCACAATTAGCAAAGCTGTTAAACAGAAAACCAAAATTTCACAATTAGACATTTTGAGAGAACCACCTTGTCATTTATTATTACTACACTATTGGACAGAGACATGGACACCAAACACGGCACTAATACTAACACGCCAACCACTAAATCGTGGATGTTTCTTTGTTAATCACTTGAAACAAATATATGGAATACATGAAAATTTCAAAACAGCCTTCACTTTAATGGGATGGCAATAGTGTGTGTGATAAGTATCGGGAAATTTTACAGATACATGAAATCTAGAGTTCTATTTTCTATTTAGTTTCATTTATAAGAGACATAGATGCAAGTAATAAATAAATGAGACTCATTAGTGAGGTTCAATTATGTATCAAACATACACTTACTAATCTAGGAATCTTCCGAAAGAATTTGTATTTAGTCCTTGGGCTGTAAACTAGTAATCTAGGAACCTTTCTGGTGTAAGTCATGTAAGGGTAAAAATTAGATATCCCCTCCCCTTTTTGCACTTCGCCAGCCCCAGACGTGTCTATTTTAATGGAAAATTTGCATGTGTAAGAAAAGAATGTTCTGTGGAAGTTTAGCACATTTTAAAATCACATGACTACAGTATAAATAGGCCAAACTAAACGAGATATGTAAATATGTAATAGCCGGAATATTATTAATATTTTCTTCAGACTTGATTAATCAACAAGTATATGTAGTAATTCAGTTTTTTTTATCATGATTTTTACTTATATAAAACACATAAAATTAAGTTCCTAATATATATGATATATGCTGATCTAGAAGGATCTATCCCGTTTCAAACCAGTTAAAACTTATCAGTTGTCTATCATTGAAGAGTTGTAAACATTTTCGCAAAGATATAGTCTTGGTTATGGGGAAAAACTACTTTATTTTTTTTTTCTATATCAATCTGCATAAATTTTTTAATTCAATTCCTTCTTAGTTTTGATATTTTGACAAGTTTGCAACTTTTGTGGAGACAGGTTGTTTTTCTTTTATCCTGCATCTTCGCTTTCTTCCTGAACTACAGTATTTTCCTGAACACAACTTTGAATTCAGCTCTGACACAAACAGTTTGTGGTAATATGAAGGTTTGTTCACTTGCAAGTTGTTTTTCCTTAAATGTATGATGCACCTATCATTCCAGGTTAAGCATAGATGATATGCCTTTTCTCTCAAGGTGTTATCATAGTAGTTAACTATACTGTATATCTTTTCTCTGCATGTATAATTTGGTATGAAGTGTAGAATAGTCGTTTTTGATTGATTTAGTTAGTGGTACAATTATGTAGAAGAGTCGTTTTTCATCGCTACTTAGTGGTACAATTATGTATCAGTTCAATTAAATGAGACCCATGTTACAACCCCTGTGATGAGGAGTACAGCTAATCCAAGAATGGCAGCAGTTACAGTATTTGTATCACACACACATTGCCATCCCATTAAAGTGAAGGCTGTTTTGAAATTTTTCATGTATTACGTATATTTGTTTCAAGTGTTTAACAAAGAAACATCCACAGCTTAGTGGTTGGGTGCCTCTTTCTAAAGCCAAAGGTCTTGGGTTTTAGTGATTTTTAAAATGGGGGATCAAAATCAAGAAAAAGGTTAAATAGGGGGACTAAAGTTGCAATTAAACCTAAGTTAAATGTAATCACAAATGACAGTATTATGTTGGTGTCGGTGTCGGTGTGTAACCCAGAGACACCTTTTTTTAGAGGTGTCAGTGTTACGACATAAAGAAGTATAGTCAAACTTTCATAAAAGATGCTTACCGTTTGCACATTTCAGTCTTAATATTTGGGTGACAGTCATTTCCAAAAGCACTGAGGGTATTAAACAGAAAACTGCTATGGGTAACAACAGCTATCTCCTTCTCTTTAAGTGTGCACAACCTGAACAAATAAAAAAACTTACGAAAAATATATGAAATTCTAAGTTAAGAGAATTGCAGTGATGCTTTAATAAGATGAAACTATTCAACACACCCACCATTCCAAAAACTTGAGTCCTCTACCAGTAACTTCTTCTTTCTTCTCTCTTTCAGGTTTCCACCAAGTGTCCTCGTCGGTTTCAATCTATAAAGAATTATATTTAGTACCAATCCAATACAACCAAATTTTTAATATTTTACAGCAATCAGTGCCTTAGAACAAACTTAATTATATTAACTGCTAGACCATGTCATAAGGTGAGAAGCAAAAGATCACTAACCAATGAAAAATCAATTCCGGGAAACATGTGTTGGTACTCGGTGACAGTTCTTCTCTTATCACAAGGATGGAGTCCCTGCATTACAAAAGAAGGATTTGTACAAAAGTATTTTGATTTATAAAGCAAATAATTTTAAAAAACTAAATAGGAATAGAGGTAAATAATTCTGTGATAAATTATAGGAGGGGCCAAGTATAGAATTATGTTATCTTGAAGATAGTCAAGTTATCATTTATTTGCACTTTTTTATCATATACCATTTGCTCCCGGCAAAGCTCTACTGCAATAAATGGTGGGCAGTTCAGAGAAGAAACAGCAGGATGATCACTGTGTCCCACATTTTCAATCATCAGAGGAGGTTCATTAATTCCATCAGTGTATGCTTCCCCACCAAAGACTCCAACAGCTGTTTGCATTGTCCTGCAATACAATAGTTCTAATTTCAAGTTATGATAGCCCCAAATATAGAAGCAGACTTATTTGCTCACTATATGTCACAGTAAAAAATAAAAAGGGTTTCTGCTAACATAGAATTAATAATCGCAAATGATTCCTACCACTAACTAAAAGGTCAAATAAATTTTCATAAAATCAAATGGTCAAATTCCATCTCAATGTCAATATCATTATCAGTACTAAACACTAGATAACTCACATGTTAAGTATATAGTTCTTACTTATATGAATCAAGTAAACCCCTTTCCCAAGTCTCCCCCTTGTTACTTAGCTCCACCTTCTCTATACATTTCCTTCTGGTTGTCGTATTCCTTCTAGAATAGACTTTTAATGCTCTCTCTTCATTATCCCTATAAGAACCCCTAAAGGTAGTGTATTGAGTGTTGAGATTTTTGAAGAATGTACCAAGTAATGATCTGCTTTTCAAAATAAATTTGAAAAAACTAACGAAATTATAAAAGCAAAATATGGCTGGAACATGGAAGGAACATTGTTCTATGTTGAAGATAAATAGAGCTGTATGGCTCAAGGAGTTTATAAACTACTGTGGCTATCACTCTCAAAAGTTAACTTAAAGGATGAGGGTGCCTAAGCCCACATATGCACCTAACACTCCCAGAACTTTATCATGTGTGACAAATACAATTTCAATACGCGAACCTTGAGCTCATTTTCCCTCATTACAATCCTTAATCCAGATAAAATACCATGTTATCAACCTATACCCAATGAAACTAAATGTGAAAATAAGACTGCTAAAAGTATTAGTAAAAATTTAGTACAGCATAATCAAACCTAGCCTATGAGAAATGATAGACAATTTGTAGAAGAGAATACGAATGAAGAAAATATTTATATAATTTGTTACAATCACTTCATAACTATCAGACACCCTCACCAAGGTTTTATTTCAACCTAATTGAACTTATTGTAAGTAAGTTGGACATGAAAAATATATACACACAGCCTTGAGAGATGGTGTAAAAGTTTATTGGGATTTATAGTTTGAACTTATGTATTACTTTAGTTAGTTTGAAATCTGAATTATCAAATTTAGATATTGTTTAAATTAGTTTTATGTTTTATCTTTCCCTTTTCTATTTCTTTCACAAGTTGTAGCAATTTGGTTAGTATTTTTCTCACCAACTTTGCCTTTATATTCAATCCTTGTATCTCATCACATGAATAAACCAAACCATTTATCATCTCTTCTTCTAAAGTTCTATACCTTGTTCAGATAATCAATTTTAATAAGAAACAGAAAAATAAAATAACAAAGTGAAACATCTATATGATTTGGCAGAACTCTAAATTGCAACAAGTACCTTAACAATGGGGAAACCACAACTAGTTCAATTTTTCTGGGAAGTTCATTATCCTTCACATGCTTTTGCAGATTTTCAACCTGTCATACAGGCATTTCACCATGACATTTCAATAACTTAAAAATTGAGCAGAAAAACCTAGCAAGAGATAGATGTATGTGCGCCAACAAGATTATCATCCGACAGTTTTTTGTCAAAAATCAAATTGGGGAAATCCCAGGACAAAATACTAATACCAATCTCTAACAACAGTATCATCTTTGATCATTGTGATCACTTCGTAGAGGAATTCCACATAATACAAAAACCGTTAAAAAATACTGGACAACATGACATTAAAAAAAAGACCGGAAACTACCTGCTTCCATCCAAGAGGGGTTAGGTTTGCATCAAAATAATCATAAGATAAGTAAGCATCATGGTTCTTTTCTCCTTCTACATTATGAACCCCTTGGGCATGCCTAACCTGTATATAAGGCCACAAAACACATAGTGCTGTAAAAAGTATAGGAAATTATAAACGGTCTCAAGAACCAAATTACAACTGATGCAACACACAATCTATTAACTTATGTAATGAAAAAATGCCAAGTCCCCGAATTTAACTAAGTACTTAACACTAGTTCATATATAAAATCAGAGGTGAGTAAGGCTTTGGATTTCAAGTTGCATGTTAAAAATGCAATTTTTGGTATGATAAAATAAATAAAAATGTGCTTCAAGGATAAATTTGCAACCAACCAGGTGAATAGTTTTGCTCTGATGCAATGGATAGAGACTTGGACCTGCTGCAGTATCCATAACTGCAGTTACACACAAAAAATAAAAAATAAAACAAATGTGACAGATGAAGTTGTAAATGCACTCAATGTGCAACACTATAATAGATTAGATAAATAGAAAAACATGTGACATGTGACATGTGACATACATTTAATATTTATGTAATTTCATACACACAAAGAATCGCAACTTTAGATTACTAGAGTTATTCTCTTATAGAAATTCGATGCTTACAAAACTTTGACCAATCAACGTTTGTACCTAAAGCAAAGTCACAAAGTAACAAAGAATCGCATCTTGCAAGCAAAACTTCCTAAATTAGGCACCTAGAACTACAAGATGCCGAAAAGCAAGACTCTACAAAAGAGTACACATGCGTTTCATCATAAACCTAACCCTACCAATTTGTCCTGAAGCATAAACTTGTTACCAACAGTGACACATCACAGAAAAGAGAACCAAAAAAAATCTGGAACCTTTCACAGCATATTCTGAGAATAAGATTTGAAACCTTGATGAAATAAATATCTAACAACAACCAACGAACACACACACACACACATATATATATATATATATATATATATATATATATATATATATATATATATATATATATATATATATATATATATATATATATATATATATATATATATATATATATATATATATATTTATATAAAATAAAATTTTATCACAGTATCCTTATGCAATGCAACAGTCCTTAATTTACACATGAAAAAACCACCACCAACCTTGAACTTAAAATTAATCTGATTTATTTAGAATATACTACTAGCATGTTTGGATTGGCTTTTGGAAGACACATAATCAATTCTAGAGGTGTAGAATTGATTCTAGGTGATATAAGCACTTGTGAGCTAGGTTTTAAGAAACTGCTTGTAAAAACGGCCGCGACAAAAGGATATTGAAAGGTGCCGATAACAATTCTGTTTCTATGATGTGATTAATTCAAACCGGGACAATCAGTTAAGTCTAAATTAATCACTTAAGAAAAATGTACTATGAACATGTCATGCATAAATTGAAATTGCGAAAAGTTGAATATGCAAAAGAACGTGAAAAAACAGCGATCGTTGAAAAAGGATTATAAATGAATCAGATAATCAGAAGGTTGAACATGCGTGCGAAAGCGTTTGTTAAAGGAGAAATTGCAATGATAAAGTGAAAAGAGAGATTGAAGATGTTTGATGTTACCTGAAGAGAAGAAGATAAAATGGAAGGAGTGATTGATTGCAGGGGAGAAAGAAGAATGAGAGGAAGAGGAAGTTTGTTTCGAATGGGAGTGGGGGGATAGAAGTGGGTTTTCACATGGTTATTATATGTGGAAGATTAGAAGTTGGTCTACATGGTTTATTGTTACGTTAACTTATCGCCAAATATGTTGAGTGAATGGGATAAGAATTTCGTCTACATGGTGATTATAATAACCGTTGGACGGTTAGTCATTGCTTGAATGCCTTAAAATATTGAAAATAAGGTTTTGTTTCTATCCATCGAATATGACGAAGGGGAAAGGAGGGGGTGTTCAACACTAAACTGATCTAATAGAAAATCGTAAAATTAAATCGAACTAAATTAAAATCGTAAAAAATTATATTTGATTCTTATGTGTTTTGGTCATTTTCTCAAGGAACCGCACGGTTCGATTTGGTTTGCGGTTTGTATTTTTACAAACTGAATCAAACCAAACAAAGTCGTATTATGTTATAAAATCTTACTAACCAATATATATTTCTTTAATTCTTTAGAGAAATCAACATATATTATGTGTATATTTTATCATACTTTGTATTATATTTATTTTAGTTTACAAATCATAAAAAAAAATATTATTCATTTATAAATATTATTTTCACAAAATATATTTTATCGTATTTTTTATATAATATTTATTTAAGAATGCAATTTTGTATATATCATTTTTTAGATTTAGATAAAATTATAATACGTAATTTTATATATCAAATTATAAATTTATTTTGACAATTATAAAAAAATTTATGGTAATGTATGAACAATTAACAACAAATTATATTTTCTTCTATATTTGTATGTATGACTTAATAATTTTTTTTTGTAAAAAACCGAATCAATTCAAACTGCATTAGTTTGTTTTGGTTTGATTCGGATTTATTTTTAAAAGCCAACCAAACCAAATCAAACCACTTTTTTTTTTTACGATTGATTTTTTGCTTCAAAACCACCAAAACTGTACCGCAAATATCCCTAAAAAAAGTATCACATGTGATGGTATTTTATTGTTTAAATCATTTAAAATTGAATAGAATATAAATTTCATTTCATTCTATAACTTATAAGTTACCACGATATTTCTATCTTTTTTATTTAGGCGGTTCTTCAGTTTTAAAAATAAAATATAATTTAAAATGTTTTGATTAAATTATAATTTAAAATAATATTTTATTATTTAAATCATTTAAAATTGAATAGACCAGAAATATTATATAACTTGATCAATACATTTTTCATTATATCTTTTCCAAAATATATTTTAAGAATGTTTTGATCAATACATTTCCATTACTTTAGTTGTTTTTTAACCCTTAAATTTGTTGAAGATTTTATCTAATTGTTAGCTAGGATTTTTACAAAAGAGTCAAAATCCAACCAAAAATAAAAAAGGTTCTTTGAAGATTTTAGATTATAGAAAGTTGACCATATAAGCTGTTGATCGGAAGAGATTTCATAAAAGGCCTCATGAGAAATGGATTGGGCCCAAGAGTGTTAAAAAGCCCAAAAGAGGGAATAACTAGCAAAGTGAAGCCTTGTGAATAAAGAATGTGGGTTCGATAGCAAGAATAGAGAACATGGGTTCATGAAGAGAAGTTATAATAAAGAATGTGAGTTCGATAATAAGAATGGAGAACGTGGATTCATGAAGGGACCTGTGACTCATAAGGAAGTGAAGTCCGTCAAAAAGTAGTTATTTTCATGTATTATAAATAAAGCACTTAGTGCGTAATATAAAGGGTTCAAACTTTCACATTCTTTCACGCTAGTCACTCAGAGTACCCAAGCGAACGAGCGAAATGAGTCAAGCACGAACGATGTATGTTTGAATCAACCCATTTTCAATTGTTTTGATGTTATATCATCTATTTTTACAGTTTAAAATGTATTTGTTTTATTTTACGATTTCTGCTTTATTTCTTTTAGGTCCGCTTCGCCTTAGTCGAACGGACCCTTTTGAACACACTTTGTAAAAACACTCAAAAACTGAAGCATTATACTGAGATTCCCTAGTCAATCTCGCCAGTAAACTTTCTGTTAAGAGATCAGCGTTGTTTACCAAAATCAGAGGTAAACAAATTAGCACGCCCGATGGGACATTGCTAATAATTTCGTATGTTTGTGTGTAGTTTTACAAAGTGCCTTATAGTTAGTGTGTGCATGAATTTGAGGAGTGGTAAACTTTTGTCCAAGTCTAAAATGTCATGCTCTGACACAAACACGACACACACGCAGATTTCTACACAAAATGTGAATGTCATACAAATAAATACCACAACTCAAAGTGCGACAGTTTTATCTCCCGTAAGATCGACTGTTGTCCATGGTTCAGGGACAACAGTCACAATAACAGAACCTAGGCATGGGATATCGTCATTTGACCCAAATTGACCACTCTTTCTAGGGGGTCTAAGGTCATCATTTGTCCCTTACCATCATGGTATGCCTTATTCCATGATGATTGGGTTACAGTCAAACCCGACCACATGTACAGAAAACACAATGGCCACTAGAAACCAAGGCATTTATGTTTCAAATAGTCGACTGGGTGGTGTTAGTTACGTCCCGCAGTCGACACCATCTTTGAATACTACTTCCGTTATGGCTTTAAGGCAACAGATGGATGAGAGTAATTTAGAGTCACTACGCCAAAAACCAGCTTTAGCAGCACATAAAAGAAAGCGCTTTTGGAAAAAAGCACTGCTGTAGGTTTTAAAAAAAACCGCTTAAAAAAGCGCTTTCAAAGGGTGCCTTAAGAAAGCGCTTTTCAAAAGCGCTTCTAAAGGTCACCCTTAGAAAGCGCTTTTTGGGAAGCGCTGCTAAAGCTGGCCTTTCAGAGGGTACCTTAAGAAAGCGCTTTTCAAAAGCGCTGTTAAAGGTCAGCCTTAGAAAGCGCTTGTCCAAAGCGCTGCTAAAGCTGGCCTTTAGAAAGCGCTTTTAAAAGCGCTGCTATAGGATATGCTACGAAAGCGCTTTTTGATGTAAAAGCGCTGTTATAGACGACCTTTAGAAAGCGCTTTTAAAAGCGCTTTCGTAGGTAGTTTTATAATAAATATCAAAACACAATTTTCTATTCTCAGTATCAGATTTTCTTCACGATCAAAACCCTAACCCAGAGCTCATAAGTGAAGACAATCTGACTATTTTGGTTATCAAGCCCATCCTCTACGTCTTCTTGTTTTGTTTCTGAATTTCCATTGCTACCAGTTTCAGGAGAAAGTTCCTCTGCCTCCTTGGTTTCTGTAACTTCTTCAGGACCTTCCGATTCAGAAGGGGCAGTTTCACTTTTAGCATCTACAGAGAGAACTCAAACGTGTCTCACCGGGAGTGTTACTTTCAACAGCAGGACTACCGCTTGCCACAGGAGAACCGTCAGGTGATTGTTTCCTCTCAGCTCTTGAATCTTCATGTCCCAATTCTAAATGATGAGATATAAGTTCAGGAGCCATGTGAACAACAACACACAGTGATGGGAACACAAACCTTTTTTTACAATGATTTAGATTCTCATATCTCACTACTTTTTCTCTTACCATTTCTAGTAAAACTAACTTTATAATCATTTTACTAGAAGTATAAAGTTTGCTGCATCAGAAATCACAACAATATACAACACAAAGTTACACAACTCAGCTCTAGGTATTTCAATTTCTAGTATAGTTTTGTATGAATAAATTGTTCTATGCTTGCTTTGATTCTAATTTATTATATTTACAGACAATTAATTTGCTTCCTTACGT